AATTGTATCAATTGTACATTTAAAATCTGTACCACATAAAATAATTTGGTTTCTTTTAAGTTATATAATGTATTCCATATGAAATATTGTTTTAATGTAAAAAAAGGAGAATAAACTTTGATAATTCTTGCTTTTGTAAATATTCTTCTGATTAACCTGTATTCTAGAATAAAGATAGAACTGTTTTAATGAATTAAAATGATACACAGCGAAATTCATTAGTAATGAAAAGATCTAGTTTATTCAACTAGTTTAAGAACATGAAATATAAATAATACAAATAAATCTCTGACAAATTTATGCTCTAAAACGACAAATTGAATGAAGAAATACTTGTTTCTCAAATAATCCTTTATCAGGACAATACACTGATAGTATACACTTTACATATGATTAGAAAGGTAATATTTAAATGATATGTGATAGTGGCTAGTAGTGGGATTCATGGTCCAAGTATCGTCCTACTTAAGACTTGTTGTTTGAATATACCTACATCGCATACTTGATATTGACTCTAGGATGCGAACACAGTATCGTCCACTTCAAATATTATTGAGCTATGCATTTAGTTATTGATTTTAGATGGTCACTTTCGTGTGAAATAGAGTGACGTCTTATTCACAAATTTGTGTTGGTTATTTGAATCTTTCCATTGATGTTTACCACCGTGATCGATTAGTCACCTTCGTATACGTGCATCTTGTGCGGATCACATTGATATTAGCATTAGGTTAGTTGAGTTAAGGACTCACGTTCATTCATACTGGGAACTTGTCTTTCGATGGATGTTCCCGCTTCTCAGATATGATGTTCACTGTTCGACTTAAATCCAGATCTTTTTCCTTGAAACACCATCTGGTTCCAATTAACTATAGAGTTAAAATAGCCACTAATTTGCACGATGGCGGTTGGTTTTAACTCGTTTCTATTGATTGTTTCCGCTGTAAGCCACAAACCGATTATCACATAGTTCAATGTAGTCATCGTCTTCCAACTGATATCAACTTTCTACTCATGTGTAAAACCCATATTATTAGTATAGAGCTCTGATGAAAAGCCAATTGCTCAACCAATTTTTAAATATCTCAACAGGATTTATTTAATGAATCGAAATATTTGCTTCTAGAAATAGTATACATTCTAAACACATTACAAATGTGGCTGTTTGTGAACTGAAGACTCTAGGATAAGTCATGTTATATAAGTGACTACGTAATTACCATGTGGGATAACATTAGTTACATATTAGTTCAAGAATATCATTCTGGTTACAACATAATGGAGGGGATAGTGGACAATATATTCAACTTATGCGATGAGAATGTCGACTTCAATTGTCATTTTCCTACTATTTACCGACTTTTCCTATATTTCACGTTAGAAAATGAAGTAAATCGTTCTAATTTACTTTTCGACGTGCTTCTTGAAAAGAACAGTAATAGATTTTTAAAGTGGTTCACTTATAGAATACAACTATAGAATAGCGCAGACTAACCAACATGTACATCAAGGTTCTATTAAACAGAAAGAGCTGTCTTCATTTGACTTCAAGTACTTAGGATCTCTAGTAAGGAATACTTTGAGGAAAAATGTGAGTTTCTGAGCAAAATGTTAACGGACAATGGCTGCTAAGCCTGCTTCACAGGGAAGAATATGAGAGAAAGTTATAACGAGAAATCAGGTCCAAACAGATATTTTTATGCGCCTCTGGAATTTAAAGGTGCTCGAACCTAAGATATGATGAAGAATCCGTCATCTACAACAATCAAGAAAATATTCAATGCGACAAGGCTACGACTGGTATTCGCCAGCGAAAATTTATTTTCTGTCTGCACGCGGAATAAGCTTCCTCATCTGTCCTCCTCCATGGATATCTACCAGTTAACCTATTCATGCGGGGCAAGGTACATTGGCCATAGCCAGTGTTTACTTTCAACTTCGTTACAAGAACATATTCCAGCACTGTTCTACAAAGGTGAACGGAAAACGTTTCAGAGTTCCATTTTTAAAAATTCAGTCAACTTTAATCCAGTCGCTAATCCACAGGTTGATTTTAACATCTTTTATAAAACTCATCCAAATCAATCAATATTTCTTCATAAACTATCTCTCGCTGTTATCGCAATAGAGTCTGGATTGCGTGTAAAATAGAACTGTGTCTAATCGTCGTTTTTAGTATTTCCCTAAACTACTATTATTGTTACATTTTATCTCTACTGATTTTAAGTTTGAAAATATCCCCATGATTTTGTTTATAATTTAGAACCTATAAACAAGCTATACAAATGTATAGATTGAAAAGAATTTCACTCGATAGCGATCCCTTAGCTGAATTTCATTTTATTCTGAAAAAAGTATTTAGATGAGAATAATATCTAATAAATGTTCTTTTCATTAAATATTGTTAGGTGATATTGTCTTCTTGAAGTCTAAGTTGTTTATCACCTGATCTAGATAAATTTCTTTTATAGCACTGAAATTCGAATTTCTAAATCCATGTTTGTTATTCAGTCTTACTTACTCACTTACTTACGGCTCTTAACCCCAATGGAGTATAGGCCGCCGACCATCACTTTCGAGCCTTCCTTACTATTTCCACCCAGTTGTTCATCAATCTTTTCATATCTGTCTCCGTTTCTCGGCATAACATGTTTCTTGGTCTTCCTCTTTTCATTTGACCGTTATTATTCCGAGTGAGGTCTTGTCTTGTGACGAGGTTTGGTTGCTTTCCTCAATTTGTGTCCAACACAGCTTAACCGCTTCTTCCTGATTTTATCCTCCACTGGAATCTGGTTTGTTTATTCCAACAGTTGGTTTTTGCTGATGGTGTCTGGCCAACGGTTCCGGAATATTTTGCGTAGACAACTGTTAATGAATACTTGAATCTTCTGGATAATGGCTTTGATAGTTCTCCAAGATTCCGTCCCGTACAGTAAAATTGTCTTGGCATTTGTATAGAACATCTAATTTTGGTGTTTGTTAATAGTTGTTATGAGTTCAAGATGACCTCCAATTGTAGAAATGCAGCCCTTGCTTTGTCAGTCAGCGCCTTCACATCTGCATCGGATCCACAAACTTTTTTAAAGTGATAAAAATGGTTTTTTGAGAATCGATGATTATATGTAGCTAGTTTAGATAAAATTATGTTTCGTTTATCATTTGGTTTATATCCTCTAAATATTACAACATTAGACTTTGAATTTAAATGCTTTACGGTTTTGTTGACTTGAATTCTACCGGCTTCTGTCAACTAGCTTCTTAATAACATAACATTATGCATGCACATGATTATCATTTCACTGTCTCATTCCAATTATATCGCGATATTCTGTTGAAATCATGGATCATTCACTGGTAGGCTATCATAAGACGTCTTGAAGCCCTTTACTGCCGTTTCATCCTAGTATACGACCCACGAGCAGCTCACATCTACAACCTTGAAAACCAGAATCAAATCAAGGAATTCTAGTCTCGCTCGTCATTGCTTAACATGTCCACCACTGAGTCGCGCTAGCACGTAATGGCCGTCAAATTCAAATAGATATCTAGTGATGGTTTACGAAATCAAAGGAATTTAACAACCTCCATAACCGTATCGTGATACGTCGTAGTAGCTTATTAGAGTGTTGCAGTTGAAAAATATCTGGAACTCCAAACAACTTTCAACCAGAACCAAAATCAGGATATTCAATACAAATGTCATGACAGTTCTACTGTATGGAGTGGAAACATGGAGAACTACCAAAGCCATCATCCATAAAATACAAGTATATATCAACAGTTGTCTACGCAAAATACTTCGTATTCGTTGGCCAGACACCATCAGCAACAACGTACTTTGGGCGAGAACAAATCAGATTCTAATGGAGGAGGAAATCAGGAAGAAGCGTTGGAAGTAGATAAGACGCACAATGCGAAAAGCGTCAAAAGACAAGCCCTCACATGGAACCCTCAATTTAAAAGGAAAAGAGGAAGGCCAAGGAACACATTACGCCGAGAAATAGAGAAAGATATGAGAGGAATGAACAAACGTTGGATAGAACTGGAGAAGGAAGCCCAGGACAGAGTTGGTTGGAGAAAACTGGTGGGCGGCCTATGCTCGATTGGGGGTCCCACCAGTTTTCTCCAACCAACTCTGTCCTGGGCTTCCATCTCCAGTTCTGTCCAATGTTTGTTGATTACATTTCTGAATACATTTAGTATGTCAAACCTATCTATTTGTTAAAAATAAACATTGCAATCATAAAATTTACATGTTTTTAACAGTTGTATTTATTGTTTATATGATTAAAAATCATTAACTTTATAAGAATGAGCCTTATTTGACGCATAAGTTATTGACTAGTTTGAAACTGTTCCACGATAAGTTTATCATACATTTCATACAAATAAGTGTATTCATAATGATGACCAATCGCTCAGTAAATACTTAAATGACCACAGTATTATTGAACATGAAAGTCAATCTTGTCGGAGAAGTGAAATCGAATCTTGATCAAACACTAAAATAGTAGTAGAAGTTTTAGTTGGTAGTAGTTAGAATTTCAATATTCAAGGATGTTTTCTTTAAATTAAAATTGCAATGGTCAATTTAACAAATTCCATCATCTAGTTTTATGGACACACTAATTTCAATGAGTTTCTTAAAAAGAGTTTCATGTTGTTTAAAGGTACTAACTAGCTAGCCTTGTATGTGATAATTTGAAAAAATGGACGTATAATTAATTTTCAAATATTACAAGGATGAATTGAGTACATGATATTGCATTGAATATTATTAACTCAAAAAAATATATACATATTCATTGATTAGCGACCATTTAATTTTAGTATATAAATGAAATGATGAATTGGTCAAATTCATCAAACATATCTGCTAGTACTCGAATTAACTAAGAGTGCATTCAATGAGAATGATTAATTGTTCAAGAGTTCTTTTGTCATTTCTATGCTTCATCAGTTTACTGGTTTTTACCAGAACTGAATATATTTGTCAAACTATGCAAAATATAACCATGGTAAGTAGGATTATTCTATTGAAGTGGAATGTGATTGTTTGTTTTTAGAATTTTGGTGTATTAGGTGAACCAATTGATAAACGTCAATATGCAGGCAATAAATTGAAATTTATTCCTATATTCTCACAAAGTATGGAAAGACATCCATTATATTCTCGGTTCAAAGTAAGCTAGATATAAATTGAAGTGTGTTTTTTCTATTTACTGTCAGTTTTTGCCTTTTATATTTATTAATTGGTTTTGTATAACTATGCCATCATTGTTAGTGAGTTCAGTCACATGACAGTTATCTTATTGGCTTAAACTATATAAATTTTTCATGAATAGATTCAAATCATCGTTGAATTACATGGCTAAAAATAGAAAACTGATTGTTTTATGTCGGTTATAACTTTGCTTGAATATTTCAGCATAAACACTGAAGATAGGTTTATCTAGAGAAATGTCGAGAACCAATTGATTAGAAAAAGTTGGTTGAATTATTCAAAATGATATGTTTAGTACAATGTAGAATTCTTAGCACCAAAATATTTCAACAACTTTCTTTCCCGATGTCAGCCACCACGATATTTCAGTCTGTACGGTTTTGTGCCTTGTGAAGTGGACTTTCTATATACGCGCCCCTAATTAGAGTATACGATGAATATATGTATATATAATTGATGTGTTAAAACAAACAGAAAGAGGTAACTAGCTGAAATATACGTACACACATGCATGAAACTTTTCTTCAAATATTAATCTAAAAAAGGGAATAGTTAGAATGATTCATAAGCATTACTTCACTATCAACTTAAAAATATATTTACCATTGAAAATCTTTCAAAAATAAATGATGTTAAACTACTCTGTTTGACAAGATAAATTGTGTAAGAAACGGATAGATTTTACTTGATTACTGTTTAATTTACATCATGTGTAGATGTGTACAAGAATTCAGTGTGTTATAATGCTGCTTCTACGTAGTTATTCAGTCCTACCGACATCCAAATTCAAATATTCCAATACGACTCAAATACTATTTCCAAATCTCCTATATATCAGAACACAACACTGTTATATGAAGTTGTTTATGGGGTCGAGTACAGTAGAGAGGAAATCTTTACAAATAATGCGTATTTATACGCGTTTTGGTCGAATAGGAAACAGCATCGAAGTCTGTGACATTGACAGTTAAGGCGACCAATAGGAAACAACATTTGAAGTGACATTAACAGACACGACGAATAATAAGAAACAACATTGGAGTACGTGACATTGATATCTAGGACGACCATAAAATTAACCAATAAGAATTAACCAATAGGAATTGACCAATAATTCTCTTAGGATATACTGGATGAATATCCTAACACAGTGAACAGTTTAATTTTAAATGAAGTTTGTTCCTAATTATTTACAACATGTAATGTGCTGTAATTTGTTTATTTTAGACAGATGTAGTACAAGTGGCTCTTGGATTTTGGGAAAAAGCTTTGAGTGTAAGAAAACCACCAAACAGGAAATTGCTTATAGAAAGGTTAGTGTATTTTAGAAAATTCATAAAATTACATTTGATTTTCTTCTGTTAAACAAAAGTTTTATCAGGAATGTTTCTTTTCGAAAACGAATTTTACCATTTTTAAAAAGAATATGAAATAAACAAATCATTTCACAAAACAAAGAAGAAAGATGGATTAGGTGGATTTCATTCATATCAATGAACTGTTATGACATAACATTTTTTGTTGCAATCGTTTTATTTTCAATTAGTATTGAAAATAAGAATTTCATTTTCAATGTCCAATGTTGTTTTTAAGTAAAAAAATTCTATTAGATAATACAAATAATAAGATGTGAAATTAAATGATGTTCATGGAATTACTAATTAACTTTTCAATTTATGTACTATCTTACTATGAAGCAATGATGATGAGGCATTATTAATTTCAAGATTGCCATTGGGAAAATTAGATACACACATATGAGTGATTGTGATTGAAAATATTGTAAAATGTGTTCGCTAGTGACTAGCTTCGTGAGGAAATTCTAGGAGTTTTAGTGAGAAGACGTGACCAGTGGAGTTTAACCCTGTCGGGTGTAGGCAGTAACTACCGAAGACAAATGGGTGAGGTCACGCAAAATCTCTAGATCAATCTGAGTTAGACATTAACACCTTTGAATGCCGGTTCAGTGGTCCAGAGGTTAGGCATTCGCGCACAAGACCGAAGATCCTGGGTTCGACTCCTGCTGCTCGCAGGAGTCGTGAATGAGCACTGCTTATGAGTCCTATACCAGGACGAAACGGCCGACCAGTTCTTCCAGCTTTCTAATGATGGTGGTCTAACAATGATTGATTGATGATTTCAAATGTGTAAAAACACTAATCTCCATAAACCTAATTGAAAATATTGTTTTCGATTAGATCGTCATCAGGCTTTACTCCTATTAAGTAATGGCTTTGATGATTTGTAGTGATTATTTTAAGTCTATCTATTCACGTTTGACCTACTATTGATAAAACGTTTGTTATCTTATGTTATGTTTTTCTTACCACTACTATCAGTACACCTGTCTTCCTACTATCAACCTTTATACTTTTGTCTATTATGTGTAGAGTGACGTAATCTCTATTTCATTTCATTTGTGATTATTGACTCGTCAATTGCCTTGATTGGTTTAACATTTTCATATATAAATATTCATGTACATATTAAAGTATTAGTCCTGATGACGATCTAATCGAAAACAACAATATGGTTCGCTTATATCTGTGTTGTTTGCATTTTTACTTATTGTAACTACATCTATATCATTATTTATATGTATATTCAATATTATTCTTGCACAGAGGATGTGTTGAACCAGTGTACTATACCGATGGAAAAACAGGCAGAAGATATTGTCGATCTCAATGTAAACCCCGTGCTAAATGCTATGATAATCTAGTTCCAGATCAATATGCTTCTGTGAGTTCTGTTCAATGGAATTTTCATTTAGTAGACATTTACACTGAAATGCTATTGATTTTTATGAGTACCAATGATTGTCTTGCATTCTAAATCAGTAAATAAGTTGATTGTCAATATAAATTTATATGGTACAGATTGCGTAAATCTCATATATTATGGTTTTCATTACGGGGTTGTGAAGATTGTTAAGTTACACATTTTTGAAACCATGAACCAGCTCAGTGGTCCAATGGTTAGGCGTTCGCGCACAATACCGAACGTCCTCGGTTTGAATACTGCGGGATGCAGGAGTCGTGGATGTGCACTGCTGAAGAGTCTCATACCAGGACGAAACGGCTGTCCAGTGCTTCCAGGTTTCTAATGGTGGTCTAACATTGATCGATTCATGGTTTCAAAAATATTATGGTTTTCAACAAAATTGGTTATATTGTAGGCATTCAAATAGATACAGTGTAAGTTTTATTGTTGTTCTGTTGTGTACTGTAGAGATTTCAGAATATTATATATACACATGATGTATATATATATATATATATATATATATATATATATATATATTACATAGCTATAATTGAGTATTAGAGTGTTGATTATTAGAATGTCACATGATACATATCTTTCTGACGTTCACCACAGGTATTTTAATTTAGGATTTTACTGTTCTGTAAACAATAAGTAGTCTAGTCCAAATTGACATATGAAAAGAACTTATATTCCCCACTTACAGATGGCTTAGTCAAAGTGATCTGGTTGAATTTAATTTTTGTTTGTGTGAAGGAATAAGATATGCTTTGTGTGTGTGATGTTTTATTAAGGTAGGAATACAAGTTTAATGAAAATGAGCACAATGACATTCAACTACTTTTGACTAATGTCATGATACTACTTAATTGCTTACTTACTCCTGTTACCCGTAAGTAAGTGTCTCGATATAGGTTAACACCAATTCAACTTGTTTTAGTTGTACGTCAGTCATGCATCATTTTATTTTCTTCACATACTCATCCAAAACACAAGTGTAGAGATATATGTTCAATTATCTAAAACAGAAATAACAAAGATATTGAACAATCGAAAATATCGTCTAGATTTGTATTTCTAACAGCGTTTTATCATACTATTGTTAAATTATCATGTGAATTGAGTTAGTAAGTGTATGAAGTGATATGATATGAAGTGATATGATTGACTTTGCGTGTTTTGACATTGGTCACCAACAATCAATTTAGAAGTTTTCCCCACAAACTACTGTGTGGCACAATAATTACGAATATTGCGGGTATTGATCATTTCGTCTATTGTTTCCTTGCTATCATTACCACCTAAACAAATCCATGAAGCTGTTAGCTAACCACATTCACATTGAAACTAGCAATTCGATAAATGTGAACGAACATAACCGAAATAGAAACTGACAATAAACATAGCATTATATTTGAACTTCGAGTATGAGAATCGATTGACTAGAGTGAATATAAGATTGTGTCTTGATGAGCAGGAAACGTAGCGCAGTCGATTTTATTCAAAGTATGCATGTTCAAAAGGAATCACCAAATGATCGCTTTTTTAATTTACATATTTTTCTCACAAATTTAATCAATAGGGATGCGCTATTGGAAGTGGGAGTGGATCTATCAGGGATGTATATCAAGATGGGCCAGGATTCGCACCAAATGAATATGTGCTTTTCATTTCAAGTGATAATGTAAAAGCTTGTTTATCCGGTTCAACATTAGCTTATGCTGGTCCATGTGAAATGCATCCTACAACTGACAGGTCAGTTATTATTGATTTCATTGTGTATTTAGATTAGTAAAATGATCAATTTGTTGAAACGTTGAAGTAACAACTGTTGTTTTTGAAATAAAATAAGTGTCTGCGACGATCGTAAATAAATATGAGAAGAACTTCCTCTACACAAAAAGAAAAAAACAATGACAGTTCTTCTGTTTTACCTAGAATTAGTTTAACTTCATTCAGGAAATTCATGTATTGAGTTTACATTTTAATTTTAATTTCAGACCAATTATGGGAGCGATCAACTTCTGTCCACAAAAGATGGACATACAAGAACCTGGAAGAACTATGTTGATTGGAACAGCTATTCATGAACTGGCTCATGCTATGGTAAGTGTTTATAGTTCAATGAAAGTTGATTTACTGAAGTCGTTTAGAAAAATCTTGTAAATATAACGAAATCTAGCAAATATTTAGTGCAAGTAATCTATATGGCCAAACTTCTCCACTTTCCCAATAGAATTTCAGACATATCTTTCATCGACCCAGCGTCTGATTACCACATCAATACAAACAAAGTCTCACAAATCGTGTATTAGTTTTAGTTGGTATCACACTGTCGAGTTCTTTATCCTTACCGAATTATGGTAACCTGAAATAAGACTGTTGTAGTTATCCGACAAAGTGCTCACATTCTTAAAATCCGATCATTTGAAACTTTCATTCGATAATAATAATTTTTAATGTAACGCAGAAGAAGACCTAGTTATGTTAAGTTACAATAATCAAAGTCAATTTTTCTCACATTTATTGTAATCCAACTGAAATTGAACATTTCAGGGATTTTCAAGGTCGAATTTTGCTTTGATGCGCGATCTGGAAGGCAGACCATTGACACCGAGAGATCCGAAATCCGGTAGACCAAAAATAAATCGTGAGGGGTCATATGATGCAAGGTAACATGCGCTTTTGTGACTTTTGTGATGTGTTGAATACCTTTGAATGAAGTGGAATATATTTTCGTTTCAGTTAAACACTGAATTTCATCTTTGTTTAAACAAATAATATTGTTGAAATAAATTTTATTGAATTTTTATAACATTTGCAAGTGAATTATGACTGGAAAATTCAAAGTTGAATGACTGTGATCAGACAAGTGATTATGAATAAAAGGATTCTATAAAATGGATGCAGTTCATAACGATTGAAACCAAAGAAATATTTTTAAAGTTTATTCAGACGTTAACAATATATATTTGGGGTTTATGTGAACAATTAAAATGAAGAGATTCAGTAAAGAATCAAATACTAACAATAAATCTCTCATGAACACGTTCAAGTTACCTAATGTAAAGTTGGCAAATGAATTTACAATCGGTTTCTTACTACAGATGTTGAAAGTAGAAAATTCCTAATCTAGTGAGAATAATCCTATGAGATTGATACTTGTTCCTTTGCAAAAACATCCATTGGACATTGTACGATTTTTCATTTAGAGCGTTGCAGAGATGACCTTGAAATCATGAATGAATTATTGTTTAAACTAACAATTAGTTGAAGAAAAATACAATTTACACTGCCATAATCTATCAAAGTACATTGGTATAGGATTTTTGTTTTTAGCAAAATTACAACCGATCATATCTTCACAGTTGATTTTCCAAAACTATAACTGTTATTTTTCATTTCAGTGAAAATACTATTAAACGCATTGTTCGTCCTTGGGTTACAGCTGCTGGATCTTATATAAAACCATTTTTATCATTTGTTACACCGGCATTACTGGTAAGTTGTTATGTTGTTACGCCTGTACGTAAACACGTCAACTTGATATACTTAAACTGTTACAAGTTTACCTAGTCGGAAAACGAGAGCGAGAATCGAGGATCCGGCGACACAACATGCTACTCTAATCCGATAATCCCAACCCCCGTATTAAGTAAAAATTAGAAGACTTGATATGAAGTAGAACCTGTATTCTACAAGCATTCAGAAAGTACGAAGTCCGAGTCCCGGACTACGGATCCGGGACCGGGTCCAGGTCATAAAACGTTACAGATATCGCGTATTTATACATTTTGGTCGAATAGGAAACAGCATCGAAGTCTGTGACATTTACAGTTAGTATGATCTACAGGAAGCAACATTTGAAGTGACATCGATAGTCAGGACAACCAATAAGAAATAACATTGGAGCACATGACATTGATATCTAGGATAACCATAAAATTGACCAGTAAGAGTTAATCAATAGGAACTGACCAATAATTCTCTTAGGATATATGATCAATATCCTAACATATGTGAACTATCGAAATATGCATTCATTATCAATAAACCGGTTCGTATTGCATTAATCTCAAAATGTCTATTGTGTTTAAGAATGCAGTAAATTACTCTTGATTTATACAGTATTATGAAAGGCAAGGTTATGTTATAATGGAATAAATTTTCTGCTATTGATGCAAATAAGAATTTGTTTGAATAGTTCATGTTAAGTCATTTATATAAGCACTGAGAAGACTTTAATTGTGGTTTTTTTTCAAATGTAAAGCTTATTTCACTTAAGAAATAATAATTGATTTAATTCAATTAACATTTTATTCATTTTCGCTTAGGCGGAGGGACGTAAACATTATAATTGCCCTAACCTGGATGGAATCGATATAGAGAACGAAGGTGGAGAAGGAACGGCTGGTTCACATTTTGAAAAACGAACAGTTGGTGTAAGTAAACATTTGGTTCATCTGAAAAGAGATATTATTCTGTTATCGTCTTTAAGTCTTTCTGTTACTAAGGCCTGACTAACGCAGCACGACTCGTTTGATTCACTATAAAGTGTACAACACTGGGATGTTTTGGTTAGGAAAGAGTCGATTTATGAGAACGATGTATATTATTGTTTAGTGAAGTCTAGCTGTGTGAGACAACCGAATCCCCATAATTATAATTGCGAAATTAGACTGAAAGTGATGCCTCTGCCTATGTACGGTATCTTATCATATTTATTATGATGAATTGAGCAAGATTTATTTAAATTTTTTTCAGGATGAAAAGTGAGTAAAAATTATGAATGTATAAATGTGGTGTATGAATTATAACTTGTATTATGTGTTAGTTTGGTCTAACATATTACAGTTAGAAATAGGGTTTCGTATGATGGAAGCGATTCTCCAAGAAATTTAGAACTCCAATTTCCTTCTAGTTGATACATTTTTGATGAGTGGTTATCTATTTAACCTTCATGAAGCTGACTATCTCATTGGCTTTCAATACACCATCACACCTTTCCGACAAATAAGAGATAGAATGAAGCGTTAGTGTGTGAAATCTTATCCTCATAGCATATGAGCCAGTGTGAACCATCATGAAATCGAATTCTTACTTTACTTGTTAAACACTCCTACTCACGAATGATCAATATAGAATATACTCTGTATCAAGTCGACTGGATTATGAAGACGTCATCATCTGGAGGGAAGCACGGTATTCAGTGGACAGCTAGGACGCAGAAGGACGATCTGGACTTCGCAGATGACCTGGCTCTTCTATCTCACACGCAACAACAAATGCAAGAGAAGACAACCAGTGTAGCGGCAGCCTCTGCAGCAGTAGGTCTCAACATACATAAAGGAAAAAGCAAGATTCCCCGATGTAACACAACATGCAGCAACCAAATCACTGTTGATGGAGATGCCTTGGAGGACGTTAACACCCTTACATATCTTGGCAGCAACATCGACGAGAAAGGTGGATCTGATGCAGATGTGAGGGCGCGGACTGGCAAAGCAAGGGCTGCATTTCTACAGTTGAAAAACATCTGGAACTCCAAACAACTTTCAACCAAAACCAAAATCAGTAATTTCAATACAAATGTGAAGACAGTTCTACTGTATGGAGCGGAAACTTGGAGAACTACAAAAGCCATCATCCAGAGGATACAAGTGTTTATTACCAGTTGTCTACGCAAAATACTTCGGATTCGTAGCGCAGACACCATCAGCAACAACCTACTGTGTGAGAGAACAAATCAGATCTCAGTGAAGGAGGAGATCAGGAAGAAGCGGTGGAAGTGGATAGAACACACACTAAGAAAAGCACCTAACTGCCTCACGAGACAAGCCCTCACACGGAAACCTCAAGTCAAAAGGAAAAGTGGAAGGCTAAGGAACAAATTACGCCGAGAAATAGAGAAAGATATGAGAGGAATGAACAAATATTGGACTGAATTGGAAAGGGAAGCCCAGGACAGAATTGGTTGGAGAAAACTGTTGGGCGGCCTATGCTTTATTAGGGGTAACATGTGTAAGTAAGTAAACAAACAGCATCAGGTCATAATATGACTTAATGATGAGAACTAGATATCACAAAAAGTATGAATGCCTGAAAATATACACCAGCTAATTTCGTAATTCAAATTATGAATTTCAAACATTTTATTAATGTTTATTACCAGGATGAAACAATGGCAGGTGTTACAGGAGTGAAAACTATTCTTTCAAGATTAACATTAGCTTTTTTCACAGATTCAGGGTAAGTCAATGCAGTGAACTGTATCATAAATTCAGCATGCTAAAGTGTTGATTTTTTTAGCAGACAGTAAATCTATCTAAGTTACAATTAATTACACATGATATATGAATGTAACCTCATTGGTTTAACTCCAAGACAACACTAGACAAGGTTGAATTCCACTAATTTCTCTTCCTCACTTCAAGTATTGTATCATGTAGTCAAACACTAGTGAGTGAGATTTTAGAATTTTTCATTGTTTCAATCACAAAAGGAACTGAGTGACTGCATACAAAGTGGAATCAGCTATCCAATGCTTATAGATTTCCATTAATGATCTAGTCATGATTTAAGCCATAAGTTAATGGAGAAAAGCGATTTTTGTAGGGAAGTTGCAGTGAAATTAGTTATTCAAATTGGTTATTGTCACTTGACATTGTTAAACGATTTCAAAATTGATATGCTCGTCAATTGATATGCTTGACTGCTATTATGAGTTCACTTTACTCGGTAAACGTGAGCAAAGCAATGATCCAGTGACACGATAGGCTATCCTGATTCGATTGTTCCTGGCCCTGCTACTTATATCAAGAGGTCATGGTTAGGCGTAGAAAGTGTATTCTACAAGCACCCAGATATACAAGGTTCACAAGCACACAAAGTGAGCTTATTTAAACATGATGGGAATGTCCTTGGGAGAGACACAAAAAGTGCACACAAAAATAATGCATCAACTGCTGAGGAGTCCCATACCAGGACGAAACGGCCGTCCAGTGCTTCCAGGTTTCTAATGGTGGTTTAACATTGATCGATTCATGGTTACAAATAAAGCATCGACCAATGACATTCAAGTATTTCCTTGGTGGGAAAAGTAATCTCAAGGTCAACTGATCAAACCATGCACGAAAACACAAAAACTCCATAATTACGACTTTTTTCAACTGAGTTCTGTCGATCTAGCGTCCCTAACAAGCATTCATTACATTTAATTTATTCCTATCACTTATTAAAAAAAATAAATCATTTTCCCACTTTAACAATAGCTGGTGGGATGTGGATTATTCAGTCGCTGAACCATGGTATTATGGAAGGAATTTGGGTTGTACATTTGTCATGGAAAGCTGTTACGCATACATGATGAAAATGAAACGAGAGTAAGATTTATGCAATTATTTCAGTATATGAATAATGAATAAATGCTGTCGCTATTTATTTATAAACTTCACATTGCTTGAATCGTTATCTTATATGCATTAATCTCATTCTAAAATTTATATAAGTTTTAAGTTGTAACAATCCATTTGATATTTTCCAGAAAAAAAGGTATGGAACCGTATTGTGAAGAACAAGATAATTTGATGTGTTATCATAATAAAGCTTTTGGTGTTTGTGCTGTTGGACAATTTATGAAATATTTACCACCACAAGAACAATATTTCCCAAATTCTCCTGATTTTGGAGGTACCGGTATATTGACAGATAAATGTCCTGTTATTCAGGTGAGTATTTTATTGATTGTTTTGGTTTTTGTAAATAATAAAACATTGTGTACTGATTGTCTCAATTAAAAAAAAATTATTTGAAGCAGTGTGTATTGTTTAATGTTTAATGTAATAATGTGTAATGTGTTCACATGAAAATTACTTCAAATCACAAGTTATACTCATACGAGAAGAACATTTTGTGTTTTGGGGACATTAGATTCACACAAAACTCATTTGATAATCGTCTGAATTTTGGATTTTATTCATGGACTGATAGGTTGACCTTGAGATTAAATTTCCCACTCAGAAAATCCTTGAATGTCATTGGCTCATATGTTATTTTAGTACACTATTTTTGTGGCTCTTCCAAGGACGTTTCTATCATGTCTAAATAAAATCGATTTATGTGCCTGTCAACGTCGTATTTCTGGGTGCTTGTAGAATACACTTTCTACATTATATCAAGAGTTTTCTTCAGTTAGTTGGTACAGTGGATAAGAATAGTCTATCGTGTCACTGGTTCATTGTTTCGTTCTCGTTCACCAACTAAGGTGAATTTCGTAATAGCAATCAAGCATATTAGTCTAACGAACATAACATTATGCTCGTTAAAATTGAAGAAAGTATTTCATTGAAAACCTTTAAATCAGATTACTAAACAAAACGTTATATTTTTCTTAAAATTTAGGCACTGAGATTTTTCGCAAACATAATTTCTCGCCATTTTATGTCTTATATCAATTCGGGATGTTGAGTTACTTTGAAACTAATAGTTTAACGAAAGTTTCTATCTAAAATACTGAAAACTTTGGATTATATTTATGATTTAATTCTAATTTTTGCTATGCTTGTAATAATTCAGATACGATTTCGTATCGGCTAACTGAACGTATAACAAATGATATAAATAACAGGATAGCTAAGCTATTCTCTGCTCCTCTCAACTTAGCCTATTTAGAGTAAGAAGTTCAAAGTCAGCAGGAACTGTGTATAATCTATAAACAGTACGAAATAAATGAATGAACGAATAAGTATTAAGCTCAAGAGTATTGTATAGTGTACGAAAAGCAACCTTAGAACAGTAACAGAGAGAAAATGAACCAGTCCTTCCAAATCGGAGAAGCAAATAGAAAGTAACGAGAGGTACTTTCGGCTGGAAAATGAAAAATTCAAAATTCCACAAATAAATTAGAGATTTAAGAAGTTGACCAAGTGATTTTTGGTGATCTAACATCTCCGAAATGTCGGAAGATGCAGTACCGCAGTAGGTTCATAAGATATTTGTTTCATCAGGATCCAAGAGCCAAACGAATTAAAATCCGAGTATCGATAATTGAACATGATAATGTTACACATTGCTTTAAGATAAACTAGCTTCGTGAGGAAATTCTCGGAGTTCTAGTGCGAAGACGTGACCAATGGAGTTCATCTGTGTAGGATGTACGGAGATACGTACCGAACACAGTTAGTGAGGTCGCGCAAAAATCCTTACATTGATCAGAGTTAGACATTAACATCGTCAAGTGTCGGCTCAGTTGTCCAGAGATTAGGCGTTTGCTAGCAAGATGGAAGGTCCTGGGTTCGAATCCTGTGAGTAGCAGGAGTTGTGAATGCATACTGCTGATGAGTACCATACCAGAACGAAATGGCCAACGCAGTGCTTCCAGGTATCTAACGGTGGTCTAAAATGATTGATTGATGATGTCAACGTGTAAGAGAAAGACATACTTTCGACTGCAAAAGCATCAAAAAATTATTGAGGTTTATGCATGGAGCACTCAAGATTCACCCAACAGATAGCTATTTGAATGAATTTCGATAAATATTACGCAAAAAGCCCCTTTATATACAAAATTACTGTCATGATTTTTTATCCACTGAGTTACATTATATGCTAGTTTTTATTTAAATATAAAACTGATTACCAATCGTTTCTTTCTTACAGCCAATGAAGAAATTTTTCCAAGAAGATCTTATGACCTATTGTGACCACAATTTAAATATTCCGATCGGTAAGTACCGGAGCGATTAAATATATTTAGGTCTTGACTAAAAATCATCTTTCTTGTCATTAGTTTAGGGAGTCACATCAATTTAGTTATTACTGATTAAATGACATTTAAATCAATGTAAGGTCTCCATGTGTAAGCTAAAAAAAATGTATAATGGTTGTTATAGATAGAAGACTAGTTTTGATAGACTCTAATGAAATTGAAGTCAATTGCTCTACTCAATTGCATGATGGTGACAAACGTTTGGGCAGTAGTGATAGTTAAATTCAGTAATGAATGTACTTGTTCGTCAAGTACAGTAAGTTTCAATGAAGTTATGAATCGATCACGTTCAAATAACTATTAGAAACCTGGAAGCATTCATTAGTAGTTTTCATCCTAATATAGAACTCATCAGTAGTGCGCATCCACAACCTTGAGCGCGAAAGCTTAATCTGTTAACTGCTGAACTGACATCCAACAGTTTTAATGCATAACTTAAACCAACTCACGATATGGTGAGACTTCATTCCTTATCTTCAGTGGTTAACTGCCTCGCAGCTGACGCTGTTAAACTACCCTGATCATAGCTTCTCTCTATAGCTGCAAGAATCCCCTCACGAAGGTAGTCACTAGTGAGCTCATGATAACTGTCAGCATAAAGTTGTGGAGATCGCTAACTAACATCTTGAATCGATCAATGTTAGACCACAATTGGAAACTAAATGTTAGATATTTCCGGAAAAAAACATAAAATTCCATATGGTGTTAATCAGGTAATTAATGCATTTTATTTAAATCAAAACCCAACAATCTTAAATCTTAATTCCATATGAATGTGTGAACGATATGAATAATAAATTAGCTATGATGGAAAGAACTGAATACTGGTCTTTAAAAATTCATGTCATGTAAATTTCACAAGATATGCATAAATAAAAAACTGGATGCAAAACTAACAAGTTAATATTGTAATCATCAGAGATGGATTATGGTTAGTAGTGGAATCTAGGATGCAAGTTTCGTCCTATTTATGACTCATTTTTGGCTGGATATACCTGTATCCCAAAGTTGATATTCTCCCCGAGACTCGAACCCAGTATCATTTGCTTCAAAGTGCGATCACGATGGATTTTTCTGATGAACATTTAGACTTTCTGATGTTCTGAGGGTTTGAAAACAAAGAAATTTCTGTAGATGTGTACGAATTTTACGAGGCTTATTAGTTGGCTCTTTTATCATAGGTGGGGATGTTAACCCTACACTTGAACCATACCTTTATTCAAGCTTGAGTCAACCATTTAACATAGAGTCATTCCAGATGGATTCTACGACTAAAAGTATGATCGATATGTGATTTCCTTTGAATGTTCAGGGATAGTTGTACAATACTGAAGCCAATTTGGTCTCTCTAGTGTTACATAAATGTAGATTTGATAATTTAGTTAAGCCGTTCAGTGAACATATTTGACGGTGTCATTTGGTTAGCAACAATGTACCGATATGTTTGTATTAAGTTTGCATGAATACGTATGTTTGCTGATATATTTTAGTCTACACAGATAGCCTACTTACTATCTTAAATGTCAGCTGATTATATTACCTTCTGACATATTCATTTTCCTGTGTAAATGTGTTTCTTCAATTTTATTCACTCATATTCTTTCATAATTGTATATTTGTCTGTATTCATTCCATGTGCTTTTGTCCTAATGATCTGTATTGTACGATAAATAACTGTCGGCCAATATTTCATATACTAAAATTTATATTCAAGAAAATTTATTCAAAACTAACATATTTTTTGAGGTTAATGTTTGTTTATAAGAACTTGTCATACGTCGATCACATCATCACTAGTGACTAGCTCCGTGAGGAATCTACGCCAAGTTCTAGTGAGAAGTCATGACCAGCGAAGTTCAACCTGTTCGGGTGTAGACAGTAACTACCAAAGACAGTGTTTGAGGTTGGTTGATTGAAGTTAGACATTAGCACCGTTAGATACTGGTTCAGTGGTACAGAGGTTGGGCGTCCGCGCTCAAGACCGAAGGTCCTGGGTTCAAACCTCGCGAGGTGCAGGAGTCTTGGATGCACACTGCTGATCAGTCTCATACCAAGGCGAAACGGAAGTCCAGTGCATCTAGGTTTCTAAAAGTGGTCTAACATTGATCGAAACATGACTTCATAAAATTACACCATTGTCATAACATGAATTTACAATAATTATTATAAAACACTGATCATCTACTTACATTCTATTTATGGTAGCACAAAGAGGAAATATGTTTGGTCAAGAATTTGGTAACAGCTCACTATGCATTACTCATAAAGGAGCTTGGAAAGCTGAAAGAAATGGCAAAGCAACACAAGATCCTCGAGTCAAAGCAACTTGTCATCAGGTAATTTTGAAGCACCATTTTAATTCCATATGATTCTGTAAACTTTCATTAACAATTGAAAATGAATTTATTGATTACATTTTTATAAATTTTGAAATCATGAATCGATCTATTGTTAGAAGACCATTAGAAGCATGGAAGCACTGCGTTGGCCATTTCGTCCTGGTATGGTACTCATCAGCAGTACACATCCACAACTCCTGCTACTCACAGGATTCGAACCCAGGACCTTCCATCTTGCTGGCAAACACCTGACCTGTGGACCACTTAGCCAACATTCGACGCAATCTAACTCATTGTCTTTGGCACATAACTCCTGACATCCTACAGAGTTGAACACCATTAGTCACGTCTTCACACTAGAACTCCGAGAAATTTCTTACGAAGGTAGTCACTAGTGAATACAATCTTTGTTTAACATTGAACTCATGAATGAATCATCAGTTTTATAGTTTTCTAGATTCCCGTCAAACGCGTACAACTTACAAATTATAATTAGTAATTTTTATCTATCTCTCTCTCTCTATGTTGTCGATTTGGTCTGAGAATTTTAAGTTATCGGTTGGATAGATTATTTTCAGTATGATCACTAAAATAAAAAACGCGATTCTGTTTCCTTTTCCATTCTTATGATAAATTTTGCAAGTATTTTTAAAAGATTTCTGTCAAACAATGATGCATATGCATTCGGGAACTAGAGAAACATATCTAAAGACCAGAATAATGATAATATTTGTATATAAAGCTTACATAATAATTCGTTTTCTTGGTCGCATGTACAGGATAATTTACTATATGCTATAGCGAAATTTATATTTTGTTTTCAGTACACTTGTTCAGGTAGTGGACAAGTTATCGTGGATGGTAAACCGTTTCGATGTGAATCCGGTGTAGCAAAAATTAATACACCACAAATTCAAGGAGAAGCTATTTGTCCTGACCCTAGGGATGTTTGCAGAGTAAGAATAATTTAGATTACAAATAATTATACTAATTCAATATTATATTCACGTTTTCTGGTACTTCCTTTGATATTAGATTATATAATATAATGTATACTTTCAATGAGAATATATTCAAATCATTTGGTATATTAATGTAAGGATATTCATCCACTATCCTAAGATAATTGTTTGTAAGTCTAATTCTATTAGTCAATTCCTACTGGTCAATTTTATGGTCGTCCTAGCTATCAATGTCGCGTACTTCCACATTGTTTTCCATTGGTCATCCAGGCTATCAATGTCACTCCAAATGTTGTTTCCTATTGGTTGTCCTAACTGTCAATGTTACATACCTAACTGTATAAATATGCATTATCTGTAACCTTTTATGACCTGGATCCGGATCCCGATTCCTAGTCCGGCATCCTGATTCTCTTCTGGACTCGGACCTCGTACCTTCTGGATGTTTGTAGAATACAAGTTCTATTCAATATAAAGTCTTCTTCTTTTATTCAATGGGGGTTTGGGACAATCGGATTAGAGGAGCCTGTTGTGTCACCAGATCCTCGCTCTCGTTTCCCGACTAAGGTAAACTCGTAATAGTTCAAGCCTATCAACTGACGTGTTTACGTGCATTCGTAACAATTTATCAGTCTTAACTGCCGTAAATACATATATTATCGGATCATTCCAAAGTTACTTAACATATACAGTCAGTGTCGTGTTTTCGTACTAGAAGTTAACCGACATGAGGTAGTAGCTATATATATAAAATCTAAGTCAATATATATAGCTGGAATATTAAACGAAGAAATTATAAATGAGGCCGGTCACGTACAGCCTTTTCATGAAAGGTTTTTTGAGTATTAGCTCCGCTCCTTTTAAAGCCCTTATTGGGCAGCTCTTACCACCGGAGACGGAAATCCGTGAGGTGGGTTGTGTTGTGACATTTTCATGGTCAACCTTTTCTAATCCTTCCTTCCTTGTGAGAAGGCAGCATCACTACAGATGCTAGCTGTCCGAGGGAAACACCTAATTACTATGATCCCCATCTACAGTCAGCAATACCACTTCGCCCTAAGATCTTGAGTAGCTGCTTTTAGTCTCATCGCTCTCCAATCGACCTACCTTGCATCGTAGAACCTTCGCGAACATATGTTCCAGCCAATATAGCTCGGTTGGGTCATCATGATAGGCAAGCCTGACCACCACGACAAGGTAGCAGCTACATGACTTCATGGCAACATGAAGTGACGTACTTACGTACGAAGTTCTATGTTGTAAGTGACTGACTGACTGACTGATTGTGTAATTTATTTTATTTTTATTTTTTTACATTACAGAAGTAAATGAAGCGAACAACACAGTTTTGCTAATTTAACAAAACAAAACAAAACATAAAACAATAATTATGCAACTTTATTTAATTTTTTTTCTAATTATTGACAATTGAATTGTTCAATTAATTAACTTGTATTCGCTTTATACATTTTTTATGAATTAATAAAAAACACAATTATGTACTGAATAATAAATATTAATGTTATAATAAATGACTTTTTAATGAGAGTTTTGTTTTTTACAAAAAACAAACCGTATTTTTTTGTTTGAAATACAAGTTCTTCTGTCTTACCACTTTATAATGGCTACGTTGAATTCGATGTAGGACTCACTC